TTTTTTAAATATTATAGACAGTGATTATGATTCCAGAACTCATTCAACACATTTCATTTTCCAGGAAAATCAATAAAAATATTCCCATTGATACAACCATTACAGGTATTTTTCATGCCAAGTTTTCATTCTAGTAATGAAATTGCTAGAATTTAATTCCTAAATAACAGAAAGGAATCAGTTAGGAAAGGAAGGAGACTTTCCTCTTATAACTGCGCTTGCTAAAGATCAGTTTATTCTATAAGTCTTTGCCTTCAAACTGAAATAAACTTTGGTGTGCTTGAAGAAAATAAGATATATTGTACGGAAATCCCTAATTCAGTTTTTTTTAAATTAAAGCAAATATTTTAGTTTGTGACATTTATAGTAAAATTTGTCTGATATTCAATAAGTTTAATAAATACTTACTACACATCTAATAAAGTGACTCTTTGGAATAAGGTGACAGAAGTCACGGTTCTGTCATTGTTCTCCTAATATATTGCCTTGCCTGGAGAGGGGGGAAAACTGCCAACAATTCCTTTTGTTTACCCCTGTCTTCCTCTTTGATCTCTAGGTTCATTTTTAACTGGCCTAGAAGTAAATATTCTTTCAATAATGGAATAAAGTAAAAGAAAAACCAAAATCCATTCATTGATAATATTTGATTTATTTAAAGTCCTTAACTGGAAATGATAAAAAAAAAATTAAAAGGAGAGGGGGGAAAAACATGCTCCATGGCTTATATTTTCATAAAAAAACCGCAAAAGAATCAAAACATTTTTTTTCAATTACAATCACATTTATTATAAAATTAAGATTTTTTTTCTATTTTCTTTAAAATGGTGTGTCATTTTAAAACCGTTTATTTAAAGCACTTTCAAGCTGTCAAGAAGAAAGTATAAACCGTGCAAATAAATTAAGAATATTGTAAAGGCAAATGGAGGGAGGGGGGGGAGGACGGGAACCAAAAAGGGGAAGGGGAGAAACCCGTCTGGCTACGCTGAAACATCATGTAAAAACTGAAGAAAGTGCATTAACACTGGATGAACGTGCTAACAAACTGTAGGATAGAATTAAGCGACCTCAAAAAAAAAATTCAGGAAGGTGGTGAATGATCTGATGAAAGCAGCCTCGGAGCATCTCCCAGTTCAGAATATTCTTCCACGCAGGACTCGAACAACAATAGTCCTAGAGTTCTGGAACCCACGGAGGGGGGGTGGGGTGGGGTGGGGTGAAACTCCGAGATTAAATAACCAAGTCATCCATGTAGTCAAGGGATTTCCTGATGCTGAAGGAGACTCCTTAGTAGCAGCTTGTGGGAAGTGGAGGGAGGGGAGTTGAAATAATAGTAACATGCCTTAAAAGGCTGTGTGACCTGTACAGTTCTGTATCCTATCCAGATCCCATTGGAAATGCAGGAGACCCCTTTTCTCTCTTCCACTTGCCATCTGTGCTCTGTCCCTTTACAAGGCAAGGGGGGGAGGGGTCTTCGGGACCTGTCACCCGTGCTTCCCTGGGGTCAATGTGTCTGCGGGGGAGGGGAGGGGAGGGGGCGAGTCCAGCAGCGCGTGAAACGAACGCCCTTTCCCTAAGTCTCAAAACGGGGGCAAGTTCTCCCTCTCTGCGCTGCATCCTTCAAAGGGCCGGATTCCTAACCTAATGTCAACTCTCCACCTCTTGACCGGGAAGAGCTACACGCAGGCCAGTAAGTCCGGGCTCAACTTCGACTTACTGCATCCATTCTCGGGGCTGGGAAATACCCCCCCTCTCCCCCAACGCAGAGGCTTCCCAGAAGCCACCCACGCACGGAGGAGAGCGGCGCGGGCTTCCAGGGTCCAGATTCGGCTTTTCCCAAGCAACCCTTTTCCTATTGAAAAATCCCCCGCCCCACCCAATTTTGGCAAGATTGCTTCCAAGGAGGGGAAACGCAACCAATTATGAGTTTCAAAATGGAAGCCTCGCTTGCTTGGTTCAGTGGTCAAGCAAGGGAGGTATGTACATATACATATACATATACATATACATATACATATACATATACATATACATATACATATACATATACATATACATATACA